AATAACAATATTATTAGAGCCTGGAACCGATATATTATAGACACGTAAAAAAAGCCCCACCATGTCGGTTGCCTTTGCTTCTGCTCGCCCAAGAGGCAAAGGGGAGGTCACCCAGCAAACTATCCAGAAGGTAAAAGAGCATGCTTTTATACAGACGATTTTAGACATTTATTCCGTCCACGCTCCCGTAGCCGAGGAAGGAGGCTTATTTCTAGGGCGGCCAGGAGAACTGGTGGATTCGCGAGGGCTGCGGAGATGGACAGCTGGAGAGAGAGGTGGGGGAAGGAGGAGGAGGAGGAGGTGGAACAAAGCAAAGGTGTTGCGAGCACTGCGAAGAGAGAGCGAGGGAAGGACTTGGGGAATAAAATCGGGACGGCACGTTATCTCTGCCGCTCGCAGCCGAATTAAAATAAAATACTGCATTCGCAAGGGTTTTCTTTTGTATTTGGATGCAGAATTTCAATCCCTCAGAAGGCAGAGGGAGCACGGATCACTGGTGTTTCTCGTATACCTCCTGTTGTGATTTGCGATGCGTTTATTGGCGTTTAATGACAGACAAAGGTTTTTGAAAGATTTTCTCTGGAGAGGAGATCTCCGCCTGGGTCTCAACGCGGAGGCCGAAGCAGAGGGTTCCCAGTTGGGAAGTTATTGTGTCCTATTTCACAGGATTGACAGCGGGGACTGTGCACACATGCCCGACACCCCCCTTCCTCCCGCAGAAGGTAACGGTCAGTAGGGAAGAGGCTGGAAATGTCAATAAAGAACGTGCACCTTTTCACTTTGACCGCTATGTTGTCATCTGTATTTCTACCGTATTTTTGTGCGCGTTCCCCGCCGTATAGGAGTTTTGTTTGCGGGGAGCTGCGTGGGTCTGTTCTGCATGGTCTACTCGTGAGTGGTGACCAGTGAAGAAGTGCTGTGGCTAGGACAGCAGTTAACCCATCACCCGTGGGTTCTGCAGCCAAACCATCATCTGGTGTCAGTTTATGACTTCTAGGGGAAAAAAAAAACAAAAACACCCAGTGGAAGATTGTGACAGAACTGAGGTTAGGGTAGAACAAACTGCCCTGAGAGAGTCTGGAGGGACGACTTGAAGCTCAGGTGGAAACGAATCCCATTCTGTGTAGCTCTTGCGGTACCGCGAACCGATAAATAAGTCAAATGTTTCAGACTCAGTGGGTAAGTTTTTCCCCAGCCTCCAGATTGGTTGGGGTTAGGACAGAAATTCATAAATCAGACAGTTTATACTTAAAACCATGACTGTATCCACAGACAAAGGGCAGTCAAATCATCTTCGGTTTGATTTTCGAGCCCTTTCCTTTTTGCATATTCATAAACTTCATGGAAGCTTCAGAATGTTATTTCTTTACCAATAACGTGTCGAAACATTTCCCATCTGGGGTAGCTTTGCTGGCGCCTTACTTCAGGACTGCTCAGCAATGGTGGGCTGCTGGCAGTGATTTTTTCTTTTTGACGAGCGGTGGTGCTGAGGAAGAGACCTGCAGCACAGGGACTAGGTGGGCTTTGTAGTCAAGTGCAGAAGTGGGGCAGTGAGAGATGGAGCAGGCGCTGGGCTAGGAACTCAGAAAACCCGCCTTAAAGTGAGCTTTTTAGAACACATGCCAATTTCATTGAAAACCAAGATTATTCTGACTCGCATTCGTAATATATGAACAGCTGGTTTTTATTTATTAACTCAGTAGTCTTTCAAAGCTGTTATTATTCCAGTACCGACTATTCCTAAAATCCATTTCACATGGAGGAAGTTGGAGCTTCTGACAAGATAGCAGTGATGGTGGTGCTTTAAAATAGTTCATGAAATAGCATTTGCAGGGCAGTAAACTTCAGTTTCTTCTGTGTAATGGAGACCAGAACTCGATTCTTTTTTCCCAGTGAGTCAGGAAAAGAGCTATTCCCGATTCCTTTTGCAGTAAGCAAAACGTTTTTCAGCTAATTGTAGAAGCAGAGCCCTTTTCTGACGAAGATGGCTCTAATATTGCTTGGACTCTTGCTGTTGAATACGCATCTTCGTGTGAAAATATTGTCAGCCATACCTGTTATGGAAACTGCAAAGGACAGGTTTATATTCTTTGCTAATTCTGTATATAGAATTTCCACTGACACGGGTGAAAATTCTGTATGACGATGAGTACAGAGCATGAAACAAAGAGCCGCACTGTGCATCAGGCAGGAGTATTTTCTCTTAAAATTATATGCTGCACCCGGGTTGCCATGTGAGCAGAGGCACGCATGGTGGAGGAACATGGATTCTTGACTGACACAGCTCTGACGTTCCCTGTCAGCGTTCGAGGGAGCAGCCTGCAGACCTGCCGGGGCAGGCCACAGCAACGCCGCTGTTCCTCAGGCCCTCGCTGACTTCAGCCACAGGGATCCCTGCGAGTTCCAGCAGCCAGAGCCTGTGACGGACAAGCGTGTCCAGCAAAGTTAAGACCAACCTGCAGCTCACAAGCAAGAAGCAGGACAAGCTGAGTTCTCTAAGGGAGTGACTAGCTAGATTGCAAGTGCATCAGAAAGACTCCGCTGCTCATTTTCCTATCATCTAGCCCTTTGTTTGCATCTGAATGGGTCAAGAATTTGTTCTGATCAGACCACATACCTACCCGGATTAATTTAACTCATATGAAAACATGTTATTCTTTCCTCCAGAGTCCTATCCTGATGACACAGTGGTTCAAAGGCCCAATCTTGCAAGCACTTAACAGCAGCAGTACCTGCAAACTGTGTTACGTAGTGAGTTTTTGCCAGAGGCAAATCTAAATTTGTAAATACTGTTGTTACTTTTCCATTCGTTCACCTGCAGAAACCTTGCCGCATTCACAAGAAAGCTGGGGGAAAGAGACAAACTATGGTATTTGAAATTTTAAAACAAATCAAAGGATATTTTAAGCTTTTAATTGTATTATAAGTTCATTAAATAAAGGTTAGTCATCATTTTGTCCAGCAGCTCTGATCTTCTTGGAACAGTCAGTCACTAGAATTTATTGAGTGAGGCTAAGCTAGCAGCCACTGATACACAGAAATTAACTGAGACAAAATTACTCTGTGTTTTAGTTTTAAGTCCTCCCTATATTAGAACCGAACTACCCCAAAGGACATATTGGGATGTAATTCTCTTAAAAGTGGTTTCAGCAGATCCAGTAACGCAAATTTTATACTTCATCAAGTTCAGTAGTCTGCACACTGTGCACGAAAAGTAGGTTTAAATAGTTTGAAAGTACCTTTCTTATCTGAAAGTAGGAAGTTAGTAAAATCTGAAGTTCTGGAAAGGGTTGGGTGATATTTTAGAACCAGGCAGAGGTATTTCGTCATGAAAGCGTTTTCCTTATTCAGCATAAAAATCTATTGTCCATTTAAGGAGCAAAAAAGGTAAGTCCATTAATTCTTCTGTGTTGGGTACTTCAAGTAACTCCTTTAAAGATAACTCCTCATAAAGGAATGATTTGAAAAGCACAATCTTCTGGCTCGGTGAAGTCAGGTGTAGGTACTTTGTAATATCCCAAGGGAGCAAAACGGCGCAGAACACCACCCGCTGCCCAGCAGGGTGAGTGTGGAGTATCACAAAGCCACCGGACTTCAAGGTGATTCTCGTAGTAACGTGTTTCGATCGTATTTCTTTTATGCAGATGCTAGATGAAAATCACCACCTAATACAATGTATTATGGATTATCAGAGCAAGGGGAAAACTGCAGAATGTACTCAGTGAGTATTGCGAGATTTGGAGCATGTTAGAAATTTTTGGTGTACTTTTTCTCATGAACAGTGCTATGAACAGTTCTGTTCCCTGATCGCTGAGAAAATAGTTGGACTTTTTTTTAGATTCACTTGTATTAAGAAATGTATATTCTTCTTGGAACAGATGTTTTTTTCTGAAGTATTTGAGTATTTACAGTATTTTTAATTAATTTATTATTGTTACAATTAAAATAATCGTAAAAAATTATGGTTATTGTATCACTTGCTCTACGCAGATTCATTAAATCCAAGTAGAATCAGGTACAAAGTTAATAACACATTTTCATCAGAAAGTAATTAAATGTGAAGGATCAGCCATGTGGTTATCTATGGCTAAAACAATATGCATGTAGACATACTGGTTTGCATCACTGCTTACTATTCCTAATCGGGAAAGCAAAATTCTTTTATAAACTTTAAGGGTTAACTCTCAGTCAGGAAGAATAGCCAGTCTGCCTCATGAAAGGTCAAGTTATGGGGCCAAACCCAGAAAGCTGTACTTGCAAAAAAAATTGTCTAAAAACCATAACTTTGTTAAAGACGTCATGTCACCATTCTGGCTTCATTTTTTGCCACTTTTCCCACCTCCCAGCCGTTTTCCCCTTACTGGAAGAAAACTGATGCTAAAAAAGCATTTTCTCATGCCTTCTTGGAACCCTCCCTGCTTCCAAAAGTTTGGCTCTTCACTTTGCTCAGTGGCACAGCTGTTTGTTTGCTTTTGGGTGCCCTCCTGTTCTTTGTTACGAGCTTTTCCAGTTCATCGAGAACTGTGAAGAAGCATAAATGGTTCTGGTGGTGCTCACTTGAGTAAACACTCCAGTTAGAGCACTCTTAAAAAAAATATTGTTCCTCTCAGCTTGCTGGCAGGGCAAACAGGTTTTGGTTTTTGGACTTCTGGAATTTCAGTACTAGTAGGACCCTTGTTAAACAGAGGAAGAAAAAGTGGCTAATTGTTAGAGCAGCTGACCGGGTGTCAGTACTCAAAGACTGAGGTCCCAGCTTCACAGTTCACTCAAAGCGCTTTCAAAGGAGAGCGTATTTTACCCCTCCCTTCCCCCAAGCTTACCCATTTGTAAAAGAGGTGTTTGAACACACCAATCCTTGATGAAAAGCATGACAGCACAGATACAGGTCATTATTACTGCTATTTGTTATGACAGGTGAAAAGCGGGCTAATGGAATTTAACTAATCATTTGTAAATAGCAAAAAGAGAAAGGATTGGATTTTTCTGTATTGTTAACCCTTTCCAAATGAGCTTTACCCCTTATTCTGTAGATACCAACAGATCTTGCACAGAAACCTGGTCTACTTGGCAACAATAGCAGATTCTAACCAGAATATGCAGTCCTTGCTTCCTGCTGTAAGTACCAGTGCTACCATCAGATACATTTACTATGCCAGGGGGAAATGTTCTTTGATTCTGTTACTCATCACTGTCAATAAGCCATTTTTAGTATTTTTCCAGCTAAAAGTTTTGAAGGTGTCAAGCAGACCACTAAACAAATCAAGAGCTACTTTTACTGTGTTTAAAACACATTCCTTGGGACATTCGTGTCAATCTCTTGTCTCCGTAGCTCAAGGTCTACATATGACAAATGGTGCAGTGGTACAGATCCGAACAGGCTCCATTTGTTCCAGATTCATTATTATTTACCTATTCTTACTGTATTGTTTAGTCAGGAAAAAAACACCACTATTTTATGTCTAAAAATCTAATTTAGCACTTGGGCATTGGGTTGTCTTTAAACGTTGTGTTATTCTTGCTAAATGGATTGATTTTGGCGGTATCACACCGAACACAAAATACAGCATAGCTTTGACAAAGGTCAGTTTGTGAACACCTTCTGTATTGTCTTTGCTAATGCATATCCCCTCAGCAGTTACGTTCTGACCAGCACAAAATTAAGTTCATGTAACTACAGAGGAATAGGCCCAGAAGCCAGACTCTATTATAAGCACAGTTTTAAGATCTTCCCTGTGCTGCCTGCTGGCTTCTCTGTGTCATGCTGAATGTCATTCACATATAGTAGTCAAACGAAGAAAGGTTTACGCAAGTAAGCCCCAAAAGTGAAGGAAGCACATATTCAGGCAGTTTTTAGTCATACTCAGGCTAATTTGGGGGCTATTATTTTTCTAATTAAAACCTAACCAAAAATGTGCTTCTCCTCCTTGTTATTTGCAGCCACCAACGCAAAACATAAACTTGGGCCCCGGAGGAATGACTCAGAGTGCATCCAACCAATCTCTCCATTCACAGAGCAGTCTCAGCGATGCAATTGGGACGGGCCTTCCTCCTTCCTCCCTCATGCAGAGTCAGATTAGCAATGGTGAGCTTCGTTCCCCTTTGTGCTGCTTTGCTGTTGCTTGGCAACAACATCATTAATGCAGAATATACTTACAGAGCTGTAAAAGACCTCTCCTAACTCACCTTTCAGGCATATGGGGATTTCAGGCACATGCTGAAATCATCACAAAATGGCTACAGCCGGTAATGATGTTGGCATCTGCAAGGACTCCAGTCTGCTTAGTATTTCTACAGGGGAAATGAAAAACATTTTTTTAAGAATGCATAATGAAAATCACCAAGTAAAGATACATCCAAGTTTTTAGTAAGAACAATTATATATTGTGGTATTTCTCTCTTGAAGGTGGTGGGATTGGCCAGGGTAAAATGGAATTGCTTGCATGACTAACCGCACAACCAAGCCTTTAGATTGCAAGAACCTTCCAGGATACGTGCCTTCTTAAAAATAATTCGGTGTTGCATCAGTCTTTGTCCTCTACAGAAGCTTGCAGAGATTGTACTGCATAGCCAAAGAGTTTGCACAGACATCTCATATGAATAAGATAATATACTTTGTCTATTTGTTTTTGTTCGTGCAACTGAAAGAAACTAATCGAAAGACAAGATTTTTTTTTTTTTTATTCTGTGCATTTTACAGGATGAATAATCTGTTTATTTATTTTGTAGTTCGTAGTTATTTAGCCAGTTCTTGTTTCTGTGGGTCTTTCCGAGAGTGACAGAGAGAGAAAACAGTTTCTATAAATAGGAGTATCTGACTGTAAAATCACAGGCCTTGGCAGGGGGACTCAAGAGCAGATGCAAGCCATGAAATTACTTCTGACTTTCTAAAAAATCCGTCTGTGGTCAAGCTGATAGTACCTTTTAAACTAATGGATGAGGTACCTACTTTAAACAGTTAACAGCTTGTGAAGCGAACTTACTAAATTTATCTGGGCCTTCTTTTTGAAAGATTTATTACCTAGTATAAGTATTATAATAAGTCAGTCAAAACATTGTTTTGTGTCACCTAAGAATCTACGTTTTTGGTGTCACTGTTGCTGTTTTTTCTTATTTGCCCACCACCCTCCAGCTCTTTATAGTAATTTAATGCTGATTGAAAGAACCAGACTGGCCATCCTGAAGACTCGAGTCATCTGCAGAACAGAAGCAGCCAGGGCAGTTTACCTCACATTGCAAGTTTACCTCGTGCTGCCCCAACCCAGTACTAAAACCCAGCCTGGGCCGTGGGGGTCTCAGGGTAGTTCACTCTCTGCCCAGTCACCAAGACTCTGTCACCTGGGTAGTGCCAGGTATTTTATCATGAAAATACCAGTCCACTGGAAACCGGGCTGAGGACATAGCTACGCTTCAAAAGGAAGGTGTGATGGAATGCCGTAGCGTGCCTCTTCCGAGTAGCCTAGGTAACAGCAGCAGTGATGGCATGTGCTCTGCTCGTGCCTGCTGTGAGCATAGGACCCTCACACCCTCGGCCTTGGGGACGCTCCCCGCAGTTGCCAGTCTCTACTGCTGCTGTCTCTGTGCCAGCTGGAAGCCAGATAGCACAACGATGCTATGTGACACAGCAGTCTTGATGTGCAGATAGACTTTGAGACTGAGAAAATATTTCACATTGGTCGGCCATTATTGGACAGTGGTTTTTTTGGAATAAATATACACAAAATTCAAGTACAGCTCTAGCACTTGTGAAAATTTCTCATCTAAAGGCAATAGAGATTAAAGTCTGTAATGAACAGGTACAGCATTGTAAAAGGGGCATGAACAGGGAAGGAGACATAGAAGCTACCATATTTTAGTCTTTATTGTCCTCAGTCAGGACTTTAGGGGAATCACCTCTGCAGGACAGTACCTGGGTAACTCCCTACATACATGATAACTCTCCCTAGCGGCAGCTAGGTCAATTGTAATGATCATTCTGTTGATGGAGACAAGTTAAAAAACAACCCACCGAGATTTCCAGTAATCAACTATTGACCAGTGATCCTTCATGCCACAGCCCTGCAGGCACACCCATTAGATTCAATAAACCAAGCAGTGAAACTCAGCTGCCTCGGGACAGAATTGGGCCCAACTGAGAATCCTAGCTGTTCTGAAATCATGAATGAGGCCTTTCAAAGAAAAACCCAACTGCCGTAGATTCATGAAAGTATGAAAGAGGTTCAATGTTTTGTATTTATCTTACTATTTTAGTGGTTTTATTTAAACACATTTGGTTGCGCTTTCATATTTTCCCTTACGATCACAAATTAGACAAACCTTTTTTTTTTTTTTTTTCTTTAAAGAAGGCCAGGGTTCTCTAAGTTTTCCCATGCAAATACAGCAAGGTGTACCAACGCTTGCCTCAATCTATCTCTCACTCAAAGCAACTGCTAGCTCCATTCAAACACCACGTGGTCTTGGCTTGCACAGGTAGAAGTATCAGCTTCACAAGACACACCAAATTTTAGCAAAACACCAGGCTAGATCTCGATAGCGGTATATTGACCTGGCTCCACTGATTTCAGTAGAGCTGGCTCTCTATCTCATTGAAAGTGCTGCTTGCATCTCTCCATCAGAGGAAAATATAATAATCTACAGTAAATTTTCTCATTTTGATGTCTATAAAACCCACTAAGAGCCATTAATGAGGTTTGTACTAAGAGAATTAGACACGTTTTTCAGAGGCTGTAGATACACTTAATAACCGTGAATTAAAATATCGTTATCTAAACATTACAGCATAATTCTGTCTCTTCTTGGGAATTCTGCATGTCTTTCATTCTGCCTAAATTAATTTAGATTGACAACAATACAGCTGAATTTAGATAGACAACACCACACACTATCAGAATTTAGATAGTAATTATTCACAATGAAAACAACTTTCCAAAGCTCATTCGTAAAATTGTTTCCAACAACAACAAAATTTTAAAACAAACAACAAAAAATAAGGACTAGATTCCCCCCAATTTTAGTTATGCAACAGCATCAGAATTTTAAAACATAAGCATACTGCCAGGTGAGCAGGATGATGCTCTCAAACTCAGGATATAATTGGAGCAGTTTGATAATTACATACAGTGATGTTGGGAGGGGAGTACCGTAACAACAGGGATTATGATGGTGACTTGGAAAATTTATCTTCCGAAAGTCTGAGGTGCTTTCACTCAAACTTTGGGAGAAGCAGGCTTGTCCTCTGAGGAGAGGGTCCCTTGGTACTTGCTAAGCCCCAGCTAAGAAGGTTAGCTGGGTGCAGAGGAACTGAATAGATGTGGCCATGTGCAAAGTGTCTCTCAGCCACTACTGTGCCTTCCCATTGCCACCATCTGTGTGACGGGGGAAGAGGAGTCAACAGCAGGACAGGAGGAAGGAAAGGACAAATTTCAGAAGGCTGGGATGTTTCCAGAGCCCATCTGTTTTCTGAAGTATCTGAAATTACTGGCATTTGTTAATTCCGCTGCCTGCAAGGAACTGGTTGTAGGGCATTGCTGCTGGTTTTGTTCCTCCTGTCTGCAATTCTGTGCAGCCTGGATTTGGCTGCCAGGAAGAGGAGGATCACTCTAACTGTGCAGGAGGCAGTTTTAATTTGTCTGTAGATAACAGGGAATTTTAATAATTTTGAAGGATTTTTTGTTTTGTTTTGTTTTGCCTTATCGTAAGGTATTTCAGAAAGGCCGCGAGGGCTCTAATGCTCACTGTACATTGCCAATAATAGCACAGATTTTCTTGTTGCTCTCTCTAATTTTTCTAGGTCCTAATCACGTGTCTATGCAGCAGTCAGGCCAGAACACTATGCCCACGACCTCTCTGAGTATGACTGTCAGCAGTCATGGAACTGGGCCTGGTTATAGCCATACAGTGCCTGCATCTCAGAATGTGCCAATGCAAGGCCAGGGGTCAATAGGCAATTATGTCTCTCGAACAAACATCAACATGCAGTCTAATCCAGGTAAACTCCCTCTTCCTCCTTCTGGGCCAACTTGACTTTTCAGTGACCTCAGAGGTTTACCACACATGAATTTGTTCTGTAAATATTTTCTGTAGACAGCGACAAACATTACCAGAGGAAAAGACAGCTTTAAGACATCTCTGAATTTCAAGGAGTCAGGCATCAGTGTAAGTCAGCACAGTTTCAGACTGGCTTTAACTTACACCGACTTGCTATGGTTAGCAATGAGTTGGGGAAAAGAGGGTTAGCCAAAAGTGCAGCAGCACTATCTGATAGCCCCTGGCAGCAAATCCCACAACTGCGGGAGGGATCCGAGAAACACCTTTATCCTAGCTGAAAGAGCTTGCCAAAGAGTATTACACATTTGCTGTTTGTACATTACTACCCCGTTTTTGTTATTTTATTGATACTCCACACTGCTTGCAGGGCGTAGAGAGACTAGCAGACAACTCAGAATTAATCTCTTAATTTGTAAAAATGTTTGCTACTGAGTATTGAATGGGATGTCCAATGCTTAAGAATTCTTTCCGATGATGTGACATTTAGGGAGCAAATAAATCCTAGAGTGTCAGTTTATTTAAATGGTATAATTATTGGGTATGTTATAAGATGAAAGTAGAAGAAAGAGTTGATTAGAAAAGAAATGCAGCAATGAATTAGTCAGGAGGTAGAGACGAACAAATATCAGTTCTTATCTTTCTTTAATCCTACTGTAATAATGATTGCATTCTTTATTAAACTGACAATAATCATGGCTAGATGTATTTTTAAATGTCTGACTGAAGCAAATGGCAAGAACTGACCATGTAACAACGTCCTTTCTGGATTACAGTGCAGAAGAGTTAAGTACATGTAGTAGGAAAACATCTCCCCCTGTGGAAAATTTACAGAACTATCAGGATGCATGTTAGTTGAAGGTTTTAACTTGCTTCCGAAGAGGCTAGGGAGAGAACTGTCACGTCCTTTTAGAAAACAGTATTTTCCATGTACGTTGTAGTCTCCATGATGCACCAGCAAGCAGCAACGTCGCATTATAACTCAGCGCAAGGAGGGAGCCAGCATTACCAGGGGCAGTCCTCCATTGCCATGATGAGTCAGAGCAACCAAGGCAACAGCATGATGGGTCAGCGACCCATGGGCCCTTACAGAGCTTCACAGCAAGGTAAAATCTATTATTAGGTTATGGATAAAATTGTTATTAGATTGATGATATTCAGTCCATCCTGTGGGGTAGGTAAGTCAACGGACTTTCCAAGACACCTTTATGAACAGGGAATCCCATCCGGCAACACAGGAAATCTCGAGTGGTGGAAGTACCATGACAATCAGATGAACTTTAATCTATCTTTAAAGATTTATCTACTTAATTATTTCAGGTGTTTAGAAAAATAATTCTGTCTAAAAGGGATCATGTATCTCTAAAGAAAAGATGAACAATTTGATATACAGCTCACTCAAGCCACTGGGAATCTTTTCAATTCTTTCAAATGGTATTGGATCAGCCGTAACATGGCACAGTTAACAAGGAACACATTTCTGCAAAGAAGATATAATTTGCCAGCAATTAGTACGAAAAATTAGGCCAAGGAAAGGAAAACACCAGAGGATAACGACCATGCTCTAAGACCTCTCTGGAAAAAGTTCTAAGAGGTAATAAAGCTGCTAGACTGATTCTAACATGAACTGAATTTTGCTAAGAAACTAATTAATACATTAATTAAAATATTTTTAATTCTGACTGTGCTCTTGAGCATGGGATACATTCCTGGGCTTTCTAATAACTCAGATTAGTAGATGAAATGTAGCCAGTACTTTCAGTATTGCCACAGAAGCGAGTGGGTTTATGACATGTTACTGACAGTTGCGTCATTTCAATTTCAACCAGCTTCTTCTGAGAATACACTTTTTTTTTCCTTTTTCTGGTGAGCAAAACATCTTTGAAACTGCTCTCAACATACATACCTTGTTTACTTAGCCAGATGTAAATGCTGTTTTCTTAAAAATAAATTAGATAAGAAAAAAACATCCCTTAGGAGTCCACAGGCTCAGTTTGCTCTCTCTTGCCTTTGCCCTGCAGGTTCCTCACAGCAGTACATGGGTCAGGAAGAATATTACAGTGAACAATACAGCCATGGACAAGGCTCATCAGAACCTATGAATCAGCAGTATTACCCAGACGGTAATTCCTCTGAGCTGCAGTCATTCTCATACTGCTAAAGTGCAGACCAGCATGAGTGCCACATCCAAGGACATGGCAAACCCATTACGATTCATTTCCAATTTAAATGCTAGAAAATTCTGATCCTGGGGCATGGGAGCCTGGTACACAAACATACGCATCAGTGTACCCTGCTATCCAAACGGCTTCAAAAAGCGCACAAAGCCACGTTTAGATTAATAAATGCAAGAGATTTATCCGTAGGTGTGACTTTCCTTGCCACATACTTGACCTCCTATCTAAGTGGTCTGTATTTCCTCTTAGCTTCATCTTTGTGCATAAGCAGCTTCATAATATGTCATTCAACAATGTATCTATAGGTATATTAACAATGTGTCTGACAAATCTGTGCAATTCCTTGTAGGACATGGTGATTATGCCTATCAGCAGTCATCCTATACTGAGCAGAGCTATGACAGGTCATTTGATGACTCTACACAACACTATTATGAAGGAGGTAGGAAAATGTATTGGCAATCTTTGTAAACCAAAGCTCTAATGCCCTAAAATACTAATGAAATGCTTATGAAAATATCAGATATGACTTGCAATTTCAGCATCACTAACTGCTACTTAGCTCTTACTTAAGGAGTGCCCAGGAAGTAGAATTTAGCTGTGTATAGCATTTTTTATACCAAGACTATATCAGATTGTATCACATCAGTAACTGTACTGTGAGGCAGTCATGCTGTGCAGCCTTGTGGGATCACGAACAGCTTGTGTGTAGCCTCGTATTCATTGGCAAAAATGATCCCCGGTTGTAGCTGAGGCAGGTGGAATTACAGCTATGGATATTGAACTTTTTTTGCAGTAAGAGAAAAGACTTCCAGGGTATCAGTATCCTCCGCTCTTACAAAACTGTTTAACAAACATTTCATATGATGCAAATAAAAACAGCTGTATTAAAGTAAAAGGTTATGTTGGCAAAGGTAAACTAGTGTGCTTGCAGTTAGAAATGAGGTTCAGAGCTGGAAAAAAATGGCAGCCATAAATGGAAATTTCTCTAAAGTAAGAAAGCCTATTGGTTACTTCCAGGACCAACTTTTTTTTTAATCTTATTTAATTCACCTTACAAATTGTGAAAAAAAAAATGAGTTAAATGAAACTTATCTTTGAAAATCACCAATACTATGAATTCGCAATGCTACCACTAAAAAGCTCTCACTAGTAGTATGTCAGTAAATTCAGTAAGATATCTGAACTCTAAATTAACTGCAAAATATTAATTATGATACAGCAAGATGGCATTTAGGAAAAGCAGTGTTGTCTGTATAGTCTCAGTTCATTTTGTTGTTTCAGGATACTGCAAATGGAATTTCCGTCATAGGTATTTCAAAAAATACCACTAACAACTAGATAAGTGGTCTTTCTGGGATATATGAATAAACATCATTATCTGGAAGAAAATATAGTGGGAGGGCTTCTTGAGAAAGCGGCTATTTACCCTGGCACCCTTACCTTTGTGACTGTGTTTTTCTTCTGAAATGTTCCTGGGGTAAAAAAAATCCTTTGGGGAACAGGTTGTTTGTTTGTTTAGTGATGTGTATAAACAAACAACTCTCTCCTGTTCAAAAGAACTACAGATCACTGAAGAAATAAACATCCTGATCGTCAAAATGCAATCATCTATGTCTGAAAAGAGTACCTGTCTATGATTTCCAGACCAAGGCTCCTTACACCTTTGTTTTCCTTATGATCTGCATGTACAGTGAAATACCTGCCTCATCTATAACCAAACTATTTCAATTTTTCCCTCTTTAGGAAATTCTCAGTACAGCCAGCAACAGGCAGGATACCAACAGGGAGCTGCACAACAGCAAACATATTCCCAGCAGCAATACCCAAATCAACAAAGTTACCCAGGACAACAGCAAGGATACGGTAAGAAAACCGTCACTGACCAGTCAAGTGTTTGCAGTAGTTTATCCTGACGCCTCCACTCCTTAGCTAAAATAAGCTGTGAACTATTTCCTTGATTAACCTTGGACATCCACATACCAAAACTAGCCAGAAAGCACAGCATGTAAAGGGATTCTGGGCAGTAACATACATTAGTGTAGCACTGCGTTCCATACTGTTGTTAGCATCCTCAATCCCTCTCTCTTTTGAAAGAAAATTCAAAAGTTAGAAAGTACACTTTTGCCTCATGTTGACTTCCTGGTAAGCGTCAGCAGGAGGTGACTGCCCGGATTCTCAGACCTCCTACACATCTAATAGTTCTGCCACTGACATGAAAAAATAACATCAACAGTCCAGAGAATCACTACTCCCTCACTTAGATTTCTTGCGACATCACAAGGGTTTTATTACTTCGTGAGGGATTGAGGCAAAAAAAAAAAAAAAGTGGAAGTGCTTTGAACATGCAGCTAACACTGGCGCAGGGCTTTTGACCCCTTCGGGTGCAGATCTCCCCACTGCCATCAAAAGAATCCAAGTTTGATGGCTGTCTTTGAGGTTTCTGACCGATTGGAGCCATCTGGTGTGTACCCTCAGCCTTTGGGAGAAAGAAACCATTTCACATTATTTAGTATAAAAATGGGGGCCAGAGAGACTGCAATAATCTAAATACTAGCTTCAAGGCAAGGGATTTCTGGTGCATCTCCCAAATGTGATGGTACTTGACCTTGAACTGGCAATGTTAACCAAACTTGATAAATTGGTGTTGATATAAACAGCAAATCCATTTTAGAAATGTGAGATCTCGTGAAATAGAACCTACATGCCTAAAAAGTTAATTAAATTATTAACACCTGACTCTGCAGTGCCAGTAGTTTGGACTACTCAAACCAGACATATTCTGCGCAATTACACTGAAAATTCAGTCTACGATGCTAAAATCTGGCCTCCTCTTTTTAAAGGTTCTCCTTCATAAAAATCCACCAATGATGCTAAAAAGTGCCCATAGCAGTCTATACACAGCATATACAGTCCCAAATAAAAGGAAACCCAGATCCCCATGCAGTTGTGTGTCTGATCTACATATTTTTTAGAATTATCTCTATATGCAAGAGACGACTTAGGTTCTGCCTGGTCAGCAGTGCTTATGGTGGCACAGCCAGATTAAATAGGAAGTTAAACGTGCAATATTTGCTAAAATAAAGGGCAGGTGGCTTGCATATAGGCGATAATTGAGCTGTGCCAATACAGATTTCAGAGAGGCAAATCACTTAAAAATATATCACATTTTCTGCGCAAAGTTTAAAACCTGACCTGAAGTTTACACTGCTGCAACAAGATCATTATTAGTATTAACATTTTCTAATGTAAAGCTAGTCGGGAGGTCTAGGCCAAATTTACTCACAGTTCATAGTCGCAGAGCTTGCTTTGTGACCATCATGTTCTATATTATTTTAGCCACAAGAACTCCCCCTAGCAAATGAAGCCTTAGTAATAGGTTTCACTGTCTTCTCAGGTCCTGCACAAGGAGCCTCTTCACAGTATTCCAGCTACCAACAGGGGCAGGGGCAGCAATATGGAAGTTACAGAGCTTCTCAGACAGGCCCGTCCGCTCAGCAACAGAGGCCTTACGGCTATGAGCAGGTAAATTGTCTGAATCTCAGCTATGAAAAAGCAGATTTAGCTGTAAGCTCCGCATATAAATCTATCTGATAATTTGGTGCGGGCATATTGGTGGTACTTCAGTGGGTCTTTCAGAATTCGTAGACCAAAAGAAATTGTCTGACTCGCTGTTTGTAAACCTCTGATATATTATTTTCCAACATTTCTCTTTTTTATAGGGACAATATGGAAACTACCAGCAATAAAAGAATAAGATCCTCTGTCAGATTCATTTCAATAGTATCTCCATCTTTTGAACTGGATGTACAGGCAGTTTTGATTAATTGTAATATGTTGGTTACCCCTTAGCACAAAGCAGCGTCTGTATGTGAACAGTGTTCATTTCATGCTGGATATGAAGCAGTGCACTACTGGTAACAAGACAATGCTTTAATGGTTTGATATTTGGTGCTGTGTATAGTACTGTATGTTGATACAATGCAGAAGTTTTTCATTTACCCCTGCCCCGCCCCATTCTTGATGTTTCTAAATAGCTTTAGGATCATTTGATCACAGTTGTGCCCCATTCTGGAAAACAGCCAGGTTATTCTGCAGCCTGGCTCGGTACAAAGCCATGCAGTCGTATCTCAGTCCAGGGAGGTTCCTGTGGTAGGGTATTGATCTTTTTTTTAACTGAACGCATTGAAGATTACCTGCCAGCCTCTGAAATCCGTGGCTCTTAACTTTACTTCTTAAGAATAAGGGGATGGATTCATTCCTTATGTGAAGACAGTTCTGTGCTATCTGATAGAAATAAAATGATCCGCAACTTCTGCAATACCTACCAGGGCTAACTACCTGAGTCTTATAATTCAGTAATCTGCATAAGTCCAAGTTTCTGTTCTAAAAGGTACAGAAGGAGGTTCAAAACCTATATTCAAGGAAATGTTAATCACTAGAGGCACCTTTTATATATCCTTGTAAACGAAGGTATTTCTGTTGTGGAAAGAAAAATAGAAGGGAGCTCTGAGATCTGCAGTGTCTACTAGATGTCAATATTGCTTCATATTGTGCTTAGCTGAGAGAAACATCTGGCAAAACTCCAGTCTTAAATATGCTACTCCAAATTTTGTAACTTGCGTATACATTTTCATGCCAAATTTCACAAGCAGGTGGCTGGCATCCTTCTTTATTTCTAATTCTTCCATTGCCCTTGCTCAGATTTTCCAGCAAGCATTAGAACCATAAATATTGTCAAATCTTTTGGTCAACTGTTCTTCAGCTCATCACTTTTATTTTTCTCTTGTATTTTGAGAGAAATAGTTCAGAAGAAAAAAAAAATCCATCTTTATTGCAGATAAGCAACTAAATTCAGCTTTAATATGGAACAATATTATGCATATAGAGAGGGGAACTATTAATGGGGTCAACCAGTGAGAGAATACCTATAGAGGGAGAATTTAGGAAGAAAAACTTAGTGGTATGTAAAAGCCAGTATGAACAATGTAAGTCACTTCTATTCAGTTTTATACGCTCTTACAAAGTGTTGGAAAAAAGCACTTCTAAAATGCTTATATAAATGCTGAACAAAACACCATGTCCAAACTTCTCCGAGGCAAAAGGCTAGGATGACTGTACTCCGTGAGCATTTTTTAATACGGTATTAATTGCAAATTTACAATATAGAGTAAATACACTCTCTGTGGGATTTTCTCCTTTTCTTTGTCTGAACTGGTGTATTTATGAGATTCCAAGTTCTAGTACTTTATATTTGGAAAAACCAAGACCACAAGGAAAATAAGGGATCTCTTAATTCTTTTTTTTTTTTTTTTTCCTGCAGAGGAAAGGCTTTAACTGGACAGCTGAAGAGTTTACTATTAAACGTTGTCCAAGCACTGCCCTTGCTCCATTAATAATTTTCATTACTGATGAAATAGAAGAGATTTTTTTAGTCAGTCCTCATTTCCCTCATCTTTCCTGCTGGTGTTTTCATACAAACAAGTACTCTCAAATAGCAAGGAACAGAAAGGAAGTAAGATTGTTTTCTTTACAGTATATTAATATTGCAGGTAGCGAGAAGAATACAATATTGCTCTTTGCCAGCTCGGAAATATGCCTTTTATGTGGTTTTTGAAAGTGCTGAAATACTTTTGAGAGAACATGAACAACACTTAAAATGAAACAGCAACATTACATCCATCTGAAATGTCTTACATTAAGAACTTCTTGAATGTTGTGTATATAATGTATTTGAAAGAGCACTTTGGAAATAGTTTGTACATTTATTTCCTAATTTATACATGATTTTTGGTGTTAATATTTCTAATTGTTAATAACAAAATGTTATTTAATGTGTTGTCCATTTTTATGTATTAATGTGGAAACAAAGTGATGCCAGCATTTTGACTTCTTCCATTTAATTGTACCATTTTCTGTTTTGTAATACAGAATGCTTGAAAATTGTTTAGGTTAAAAATTTACCTGAAAATGAAGTTGGTGGTACTTTTCTTGTGACAGACTTTTCAACAGAAACAACAGATAAAGAGATTCTTTTAAGTTGCACCTTCTCCCCTACTTCTCCCATATGCTTTATAAATAATTATATGCGACGAAAGCTTGTCCCAGCTTTCAAATTATCTGATATGCAAAGCTCTGCATGTGCAGCATGGATGGGAGTAATTAACAGCTCACCTGACAGGAGCAGGAGCAGGGGACATGCGGTGGGCTGACTGATGGCGCAGGACTCCTCAGGGGCCGGGACACCCGCAGGTCGCTCACCGAGCCCCACGGCTGGCACCACACACGCGTTATTTCATAGAATCATAGAATCATAGAATGGTTTGGGTGGGAAGGGACCCCTAGAGGTCACCCAGCCCAACCCCCCTGCAGGAGCAGGGACACCTTTAACCACATCAGGTTGCTCACAGCCCCGTCCAACCTGGCCTGGAATGTTCCCAGGGTTGGGGCCTCCACCCCCTCTCTGGGCAACCCCTGCCAGGGTTTCACCACCCTCATTGTAAAGAATTTCTTCCTTAGATCCAGTCTAAACCTACCCTGGTTTAGTTTAAAGCCATCCCCCCTTGTCCTGTCACAGCTGGCCCTACTGAAAAGATTTTCCCCATCTTTCCTATGGGCCCCCTTTAGGTACTGAAAGGCCACCATCAGGTCTCCGCCGCCC